GTGAAATGGGTGGGAGGCCTAATTATGGCGATGAAAGGCCTCATGGGCGCTCCATGGGTCGCTTTCAGGGTGAGAGATCTCTTTCTAATATATTTTTAAGTTGAGGGAACCTGTATTACACGTTTGCACTTGTGAGACATGTTTAAGAGGACTATCATTGGGTGTTCCTAATAATTGGGACTTTTGGTTCATCTGATTAGTATGATTCATAGTCATAACTTTGTATTTTTTTCTCTATATGCTGTGTATTGGAGACAGTTTGAGTAGTAATTCACAATTCTATTGGTCAACTGGCTATCTATTTTAGAAGAGAGATATCAGTATCGACCTTTTAGTGTGTATTACTTTTGGCAGACTGGGAGGGAGGACGTGGAGGTTATGGTGATGCTCCCAACAGTGGAAATACTCAAAGGTTAAGGTCCCTAAATATTTGCTCATTTTTCCTCTGTTGTCATAGGTTTGTTCTCTTTGTCCAATGGTGTGCTTACTTTTGGCAGTGGATATTTAGTCTAGAAAATGTATACGAGGAGTTATGAAATGTCTATCTCCTGTTCTTACATGCGTTCTTCCTTGTAGCTCATGAAAGCTTGAGTTAAGGTTTGAGAGACACTATTGATCACTACTAGAAAATCATTTCTGAAACATGTGATGTTAAAGTCATCGTCTCTATTCTGTTATTCCTGTTGAGTACAAGATAATGCCAATATTTGGTGCAAGTGTAAAACTTTTATCTCTTTTACGTTTAAGAATGTGGCACACAACTAGTGCTGGTTGTAGAATCCCTTCTGTTGCATTTAATAATAATTACTGTTGTAATTCCTTAATCCAGGGATGGATTGATGTCATACAAACAATTTATCCAGGAGTTGGAAGATGATATCTTGCCATCAGAAGCAGAACGGAGGTATCGTTATAACTGCAACTTAGTCTTGGTGCTTAATCAGTTGTCGTCTAGAGCTGCTGGGGTAATTACTTTTGTCCTGATGCAGATATCAAGAATATAAGTCAGAGTATATTACAACACAAAAACGCGTCTTTTTTAACGCTCACAAAGAGGAAGATTGGTGAAGTCCACTATCTGTTTACATCTCTTACACCATTTTGGGATATTCTGCAAGCTAATTATTAACATGCTAATGCATTTTATGCATCCAGGTTGAAGAACAAGTATCATCCAACAAACTTACTCTCTGTCATAGAAGGGTGAGTTCATGAGCATTTCCCTCAGTATGATTGCTGTTATATTGATACTATATACTGATTTCTTTTACTTGTACTTCAAAAAAATGTCACTGACTGTTTATATTTCTTTCTTATTTTCAGGAGAAATGAACTTGCACGGAAGGTGGCGAAGGATTTCTTACTTGATTTACAGAGCGGGGCTATAGATTTGTAAGATCACTTCATTGGCCATTACTATAGTCACAAGTCACCATTCTGTCATCTCTTAAAGTTCAGTTTCCCTCGATCTGTTCCAGAGGTCCTGCAGTGACAGCAGTGGATAAATCCAGCAGGGCCAGTGAGCCAAATTCTGAGGATGAAGCAGCTGGAGGTGGCAAAAGAAAAAGACATGGTAGGTGGGAAGGTAAAGAGACTGAACTTCTTTCAGCGGCACCACAAGCCCCCAGTTTCACTTCTGATCCAAAGAGAATCCTAACTGACATTGAACAAGCACAAGCACTTGTGCGTAAGCTAGACTCTGAGAAACGAATTGAGGAAAACCTTTTATCAGGTTCAGAAACTGAAAAATCAGGTAGAGAAAAGTTACACAGTGGTTCGACCGGTCCAGTTATAATCATTAGGGGGTTGACATCTGTGAAAGGGCTCGAGGGTGTTGAATTGCTCGACACACTTGTCACATATCTCTGGCGTGTTCATGGTGTGGACTATTACGGAAAGGTTGAAACAACTGAAGCTAAGGGTTTGCGGCATGTGAGAGCTGAAGGTAAAAGTTCTGATGCAAAAGGAGATGAGAATGAAAGTAAATTTGACTCACATTGGCAAGAGAGGTTGAAAGGTCAAGATCCCTTGGAAGTGATGGCTGCGAAAGAGAAGATAGATGCTGCTGCTACTGAAGCTTTAGATCCACATGTCCGAAAAATTAGAGATGAGAAGTATGGTTGGAAATATGGTTGTGGAGCGAAGGGCTGCACGAAGCTGTTTCATGCTGCTGAATTTGTGTACAAGCATCTCAAGCTGAAACACACTGAGCTTGTCACAGAGCTGACTATCAAAGTGCGGGAAGAACTGTATTTTCAGAACTATATGAAGTATGTATGGTTTCTCTCTTGGACTCCTCTACTGTCATATATGGTGAGATCCTAATGATAAAATCATGTGCCATTTGCAGTGATCCTAATGCTCCAGGAGGACAACCAGCCATGCAGCAATCTGGCCCGGTACAAGAATTTTTTTATTATATCACTTAAAGGAATGTTAAATAGTCTGTACTAGTTTTGGGTTTTGCATGTATTAAGCTTTGTTTTGAGTTTTACTTACATGTGTGATATATACTTTTGACAGAGGGATAGACCTATGAGACGTAAACCAAGCATGGAGAACAGATTGAGGGATGATCGTGGTGGACGCAGAGAGCGTGATGGACGTGCTAATGGAGATGACAGAAATGATCGGTCGGAGGATCAAGTGAGAGGCGAAGGTGATGGTCCTGATGGTGGAAATCCTGGGGACGTTGGGTACGATGCATTTGGTGGACAAGGTGGTGTTCATGTTCCTCCCTTCTCATCGGATATAAACCCACCACCAATGCTGATGCCTGTTCCTGGTGCCGGGTAGGTTTTTAAGAAAAGACTACACTACTCTCTCTCTCTCTCTCTCTCTCTCATGTTCCTGTCTTCATATTAAAGAGTTGAGATATCTAAATATTGATTTTGTGGGCAGGCCACTTGGACCATTTGTACCAGCACCACCTGAGTTTGCAATGCAGATGTTCCCAAGTGGACCAAATCCTACTTTCGAAGGTAGCGGCAGAGGTGGACCTGCCCCTTTTCTTTTGTCTCCGGCCTTTAGACAAGATCCTAGACGGTTACGCAGGTAACATGTTTCATTTCTACATGCTCTGAGCAAATCATAACACATTGCTTTCAGTTTCATCATACGAACAACAAGAGTGCAGTGTCATTAAGAAACTAATATATGAGAAAATGGTGCAGCTACCAAGACCTAGATGCTCCAGAAGAAGAGGTAACCGTTATTGATTACAGGAGCTTATAGACAAGAGACGGCGACTAGAGATATGCTGAGTCTACGCCCACCCACGCGGCCGGGTTGGGTCAAAAGGCGAGCCAGCAGGTTCAGCCACTTTGGTGATGTATTGAGTTCTTTGCTCCTAATTTTACCACTCACTGAAAAGCGTAACACACGCACTCTATATAAAATGGTGAAGTTACGTTGGACATTATATAAGATCTATATAAAAATGAATATGTGCATGAACAAATTTAAAAATACGTTCTTACGTTTAAGCCATTAGAAGAACAAATATAATAATTGTTTAACAAAAAAAAAAAAGAACAAATATAATGTAGAAATTATATAAATATTGACGTTTTGTATTTGTTTGTTTTGTGGGTTAATAGAGCTAGAGACTGCGTATTAAAATCAAGAGATGTCTTGTGTTTGTTGTATAGGCTCGATTCAGTCTCTATATTTTGTCAACTTCAAAACCGAAACCTCGATGAATGGTCCATATAATCGGACCTTAGTTTACAACCAAAACTAGTCAATTTAAAAGTTAGGTAATCTATATACTACACTATTTTATTATTTAAAATTAAATTAAAATTAAAAATATTATTATAACTTATAAGAAAATAATTTCCAAATCTCTTTTTTGAAAAAATAAGAGACATTATTATCATTTGGAAAGAGATTTTATTTGTTTTGAAGTATCAAATAAACGTGTGTATATATATCTTAAAATTCGCTATTAAACGTTAATTATAAAAATCTAGTAATGTCAAACTGGCAATCACCAAAACATTTGAAAGCTATTTGGACCTAATCACCATTATTCATAATATTTCTAAAATATTAAAAAAAATCTTAATTTAGAAATTATCTTCTAAAACATGATTATTTCTTAACTTTCAATTTAGCAATTTAGCAATTATTATTCATGATTATTTATTAGATTATTCATGTTAAAAATCATTCTTAATTTAGCAATTATTCTTGATTATTTAATTCTTAATTGCTAAAAATTTTAATTTAGCAATTATTCATAATGTTATTTCTTAACTTTCCATTTTTCAAAAAATTATTCTCAGACTATGAAAACTAATTAATTATTATTTAATTTTTACTGCAATCATCATAATTGCGGAAGATCAAGACTATGCGATGCTTGTGCCTAGTACACAAGTTAAGCTGAAATTAATTATTATTTAATATGATGGTAAAGTTCTTTCAAATTAACATCAATCTAAAATATGATGTTAACTAAAAATATAGTCATTTGTTAATAAGTTCATATAAACAACGCAAATAAACATAAAGAATTTAAATAAATTATAGTATCGTTGAGGAAAACATTAAAAATCTTTCAAATACGAATTATAAAAAACTACATATTTACAAAAAAAAAAAAGAGAATTTGTTAGAAATACCCCTTTTCACTAACCATTTTTAAAAAATACCCCCTTTATTGGCCATTTTTAATTCTACCCTCATTTATATTTTTATTCCCGTTTTATCCTCGAAAAGCTAATTGATTTGTCATGTGTTTGTAGCCGTCACAATAGAGGATGGTCATCTTCACCTTCGTTCTCAGCTCTGGGGCCATGGCGGCCATGGTAAGGAGTCGTATATTCAAGCTTCGCCGTCGTCGTCATGCTTCTATGTTCTCTCCTTCTCTGTTGTTCTTTTGTCTCCGATCTTGTCGCTGCCGGCGTCAATTCAAGAGGAGATCTCAACGTCGTTGTCGTTCTTCGACTTCAGACCTTTGTCGTGGCTGAAATCAGAGGTTTACGAGGCAGATCTCTCTCTCTCTCTCTCTCTCTCAGATTCTAGTCTTCTCCTTCTTGAACATGGTTTCTCAGATTTGAAGAGACAAAATCATAATTTGAAATTAGCATTGCTGTTCAAAATGGAGATAACTTTACAACTCTTTGCTCACTTTCCTAGTATTGGGGTTTTTGAATTTGGCAAAAACTAGATTTTGATGAATTGGTTACAAATTATGTATTGATGTCTGCAATTTTTGTATTTAGATGATTAGAGGATGGTATTTTAATAGGAATTGTTGGATATGAATATGAAATAGATGGTGAAGATGTTTGTTTCTTGTGTGTGTAGGATGAGTGAATTTGATATCTATAGATTTGGTGTTGTTATGTTGGTTTTGTTGTCTAGAAGAGCTGCTATGTTTAATGGACTATATGAGACTCATAGATCATGTATTTGAGGTAATGAACTAGATGAGACCAGTTTTGGTCTCTCTCTCCTAGCTTTGGTTAATTTTTTCTTTAATTGCAGGTGTTGCTACATGTGCATCGTACCCTCTTGACTGCAAAAACTGAAGCTTTGAATCAAGCGATGTCGCAGGATTAGCTATAACTATAATCACTCGTGGATCAGTCCTAACGATGCTGGAGATTTGAGAATCTTTGAACCCATAACTTCTAAGAAACTTGAGAACAGAAGGTGCAGCTTATCACCAAGCTAATGGAGGTTAGTCTGAAACAAATGCGCAAACCTCTTTTCTGTCACATTTTGGGTCAGTTTGAATGATTAGGTTAACTGGTCTAGTTGTTGTTCTGTTTTTTCTGGTTCTGTATTGTCGATTTTGTTTGGCCGTGATATTATTGATTGTAACAGGTAAGAGCTGCAGCCTGCAGTCACGAGTGATGAAAAATGTAGCAATCTCTCATTTCATCTACTTCTCCTTCTCTTCATCAAAGAGAGTGGTTCCCTCATTTCTTCTAGTCTCTGCAGTCTTTGTATAATTCTAAAAGTACTGAAACAAGCAAGAAGTATGAAGGACAAGTTTGAGAAGTACTGGGATGAATTGATCAATATAAATCCAGTTGATAGAAACAGTTGAGCGACAGAGTTTAGGATCAGCTTATGATGTTTTGTCATGGTAGAAGCATAATAGTCTGAACTATGTTTAGGAACCTTATAAAATATGTTTTTTTAGACATACCGTTTATGCAAATTGTTGTTTGTTAACGAGAAGCATATATTCATCAATATATGGATTTTGCTACTTTTTAAAACCTTTATAAAAGTCTTATAAACTCTTTATAAAAGCCTTATAAAACGTTATAAAAGCCTTATAAAATCTTTAAAAAACCTTCTAAAACCTTATAAAAGCCTTGTAAGACTTTTTAAATAGTTTTAAAGCCTCAATATCCATTTAAACACCTTTTAAATACTTTTGAAAATTTTTTAAAACCTTATAAAAGCCTTATAAAATATTTATAAAAGCCTTTTAAAATCTTAGTAAACCTTTTTAATAGTTTTTAAAACCTTAATACATTTAAACACCTTATAAAACCTTGTAAAAACCTTTTAAATATGCTGTAAAACATTTTAAATATATTGTAAAACCTTTTCAAAACCTTTTAAATAAGTTTCAAAATCTTTTAAAACCCTTTAACAAAACCTTATAAAAGCCTTATAAAATATTTATAAAAGCCTTGTAAAAGCTTATAAAAGTCTTGTAATACTTTTTACATAGTTTTAATTTAAAACCTTAATATCCATTTAAACACCTTATAAAATTTTGTAAAACCTTTTAAATACTTTACAAATTTTTGTAAAACCTTTTAAATACTTTACAAATTTTTTTAAAAACCTTATAAAAGCCTTAGAAGATATTTATAAAACCCTTGTAAAATCTTATAAAATATTTATAAAAGCCTTGTAAAATCTTATAAAAGCTTTGTAAAAGTTTTAAAAGAACCTTAATATATTTAAACACCTTATAAAACCTTTAAAAAACCTTTTAAATACGTTGTAAAACCTTTTAAAAACCTTATAAAATATTTATAAAAACCTTGTAAAACCTTATAAATTTTATATAAAAGCCTTGTAAAACCTTATAAAAGTCTTGTAAAACTTTTTAAACTTTTAAAATCTTAATATATATATATATATATATATTAAAACACCTTATAAAATCTTTGAAATGTTTTGGAAAGGTTTTAAAAATGTTTTAAAAGGTTTTATAAAGTTGTGACGATAATGCAAGGTTCTTATGCACAACTATTTTGTAACCATTTAAATTACATATGAAAGAAGACTTTGTTTGACAAAACAAAAGAAGACAACTCCATCACTGGCTAAAAATATACAAGAAATAACTAAAATATACAAAAAATAACTATGTAGTATCGTTGATCTCTACAACATGAACAATATAATATACATATTTACTACATAAGCATGTATTATTTTCTAGAAAGTCAACATCTTCTCCGAATTAAAGCTCACCACTGTCCTCGACCATGAGATCAGATTTGGTCATCTTCTCCGCAAGGCTTTCCTGTTTTTCCATTTTTGGTTTGTTGATAGGCGCAGGCATGAATCTCATGTAGTAGAATGGTTCTGGGCCAGTGACACAACTCCCGCTTGTACTCATTGAGTCTTCTTCGCTTGTACTCATGGACTTGTTGGTGTCATCCTAAGGAAGATCTGCCGTGAAATGAAAGGCTGATTTTTTTTTCCATGGTTGTTCTGGGGTCGATGGTCTTTGTTTTTGCTTGTTCAGTTTCCGTCTGCAAAATCACATATGTGGGAATGACAGAGACCGAGACCGAGAGAGCCTAGCTCAATTGTATAAATAAAACCAGACAAGGAAGGGAGACTCACATGATGAGGTGGTGTTGTGTACAACCTCTGCTCTAAAGTCTTGGCATCCCATATTATGGACTGCACGATATTGTGATCCAAACCATTAACATTGATTGACAATGAACAAGTACGAACTGAAGCATATGAAACCACATTACATCTCTTCATAAAACTCAACCGTAAAATCTAGAGAAGATTCAGCTTCATCACAAATCTCTCAATCTTCAACCAAATGACCAGAACAAATACTTCACACAGTCGAAACCCAACCACAAAACAACCTAAGACTACAATAAAGCTAAACATTACCGACAAAAAATTGAGAAAACTTACAAACACGCCGACGTCAAGAACGTAAACAATAAAACAAGGAAGGAATGGAAAAATCACCTTTCTCATCTCAGTTCACAAGGTACATACATTTATGGAGAGGGCGTTGAGCAGCGACGAACAACGAGATCGCATCAATGGTGAAATACGAACGGGATGTTACTGAAGAACCGAAGACAACGAGATCGACGACGGCTGATCGACGATTTAACACGGCGATGAGAGACGAGAACACGGCATTGAAGACGAGATCGCCGGTGATGAAAACGAAATCGCCATTAGAGATAGGAGAGAGAGATCGGAGAAGAGAGAATGAATTTTTCTAGGTTAAAAGAATTAAGGGCAGTATTGTCTTTTTCCATCAAAACAAGGGTATCTTAAAAATGTTCTTCATATCGGGGCATTTCTAAAAAAAAGTGATCTCCAAAAGGGGTATTTTTAAAATTGTCCCTAAAAAAAATTATTATATTACGAATTATATTAAACTTTTGTTATCTTTAATTTAAGTTAAAATATGATTTTCAAAAATATTTTATTCACCCTTATGATTTATACAATGAATTGCTCAATGGCATAATACATTCATATATAAATTAAAAATTAAACAAATATAACATATTATAAAATTAAAATCATGAATAAAAATATTTATTTATTTAACTCAAAATCTATTTTATTTGTAAAATGTAAATCCTAATTCTCTTTTACGAACCCAAACTGATAAATAACTTTGTTTAATTGTAAAACCTAAATCTCACACCTCTTTTATCAACCCAAATCGATAAATAATCTCGTTCAATTTTTTTACTTTTTAATCTATCAAAAATACCCTTTTTCAGTACCACTTTTTAAAAATACCCCTACTTCAAAGTTTATCAAAAAACCACTAAAAAGGTTAAAATTTATGGGAAACTATAATGCAGGGGTGCAGATAAAAAAAAAGTTCAATATCCATCCTCAATAATTTGTTATTTAACTCTTCTTTTTGCATACGTTTTTGTCCCTAGGTCTATGGTATCTAAGAGAAAATAGAATGCAGGGGTTCTGTCCCTAGGTCTAGGTCTATGGTATCTAAGGAAAACTATATTTACATACTTGTATAAAATATTTATACTACCAGTTTATATAAATACTCAATTTAACGGATAATATGTAATTTACGCGATAACATATTATTTAACATGTTTAAAAAAAAATTATCGAATGCTTTTAATCACTGATGAACAGTGTTATCAAATTCATGAAAATATATATATCGGTTTGAGTTTATAAAACAGTGGTTAGGCTTTAGATTTTATAAAAAAACAAAAATGTATTTTTATTTGTGTTTATAAAATAGTGGTTGGGGTTTAGATTTTGTAATAAAACGACATTATATTTTGGTTTGGGTTGACAAAATAGTTGTAAGGGTTTAGTTTTTGTAAATTAAACGAAATTATATTTTGGTTTGGGTTGACAAAATAGTGGTTAGGGTTTAGATTTTATATTAAAATCAAATTATATTTCAGTTTGGGTTGACAAAATAGTGATTAGGGTTTAGATTTTGTAATTAAACAAAATTATATTTTGCTCTGGGTTGATAAAATAGTGGCTAGGGTTTAGAGTTTATAATTAGTCGAAATTATATTTTGGTTTGGGTTGATAAAATAGTGGTTAGGGTTAGATTTTGTAATTAAACGAAATTATATTTTGCTTTGGGTTGATAAAATAGTGGTTAGGGTTTAGAGTTTATAATTAGTCGAAATGATATTTTCGTTTGGGTTGATAAAATAGTGGTTAGGGTTAGATTTTGTAATTAAACGAAATTATATTTTGCTTTGGGTTGATAAAATAGTGGTTAGGGTTTAGAGTTTATAATTAGTCGAAATGATATTTTCGTTTGAGTTGATAAAATAGTGGTTATGTTATTACTAATCAACATATAACCCATTCGTTATCCGATAACATCCACACATGATAATATCCGATAACATCCACACATGATGCTTCGTTATCACCATATTTTTGATAACAACCTAGTCATCTGATAACAATCCGGTAACAATCTATATATGCAATCTAGTTATCCGATAACAATATATATACTGCATTATCATTTCGTTGACATAAATCACTTTTTCCCAAGTTAGTGCAGAGAATTGCACCGAAAATAAACATTAAATGCTCTAAGAACCAAAAAAAGATAATTATTATTATTTTAAATTGATATAAGGACACCTACGTAACTTCTCCCCTCTCTCATTGAAAAAACTAATTTTTAACTTATCAACTCTTTCTTTTTAGTTTTTGGTTTATTTGGGCACTTATTTTTAACAAGCCCAAAATTTATCCAAAATATGTGTGTAAACATATAAATATACACACAAATTACATTTATATATGTATAAATTTTTATATATCTTTCATAAATATCTATTTTATCTAAATATTAACAAAATTAGAATCGACACGTGTGAACATCTTATCTTTATAATTGACACATGTCACGATCTTAATAATGGCTGACCTTGAAAACCAAAGTTTATATAATCAAATTGCATGATCATTCATCGGCGACATTTATACAAGTATGAATATGTTACACATTCTTTTTTTTTTCTTTTTTTTTTACACATTCTACTTTTGGTATTAAGCATCAATTTCAAAATTTTCTCAATTTCCTTTTTTCTTAATATCTACGTAATTAAGTAATTATACTCATGGATACATGTATAACTACAGTCTACAGTATAACGTATAAACCAGTGAAAACATGCAATTTCGTTATACTGAAGATATATTTTTCTTTTTGTATATATTTTTCTTTATATGTCAGGTCTAATAACAATTTATTTTATTTTATATTGCTTTTTTGGATAAAAATTCTAAAATAAATAAATAATAAAGTAAAAATCTCATAAAATCACCAATCATTAATAATAAGTTAAACATCCTAAAAAAACACAAAAAAAAATATATGATCCTGGCTTAATGGTTGAGTGTTTGCTAATAGTACGCAAAAGTCATGAGTTCGACCAATTGTAAACACCGTTAGTAGTTTTTAATTTTAATGAAACGACGTAATTTTGAAAAATAACAAACCAACGTCTTTTTCGTTAAAAAAGAAACTCTAACAGAAACTTAACCGTATTAACGACATGTCCGAATAGTCAAATCCATGAAACTTCACCATTTTATCTGAAAGTCAAATTTTTCTTTGCTCCAAATTAAAAAATTCGTGTTCTTCTCAACATATTTCCCAAATCTAAATGCCACCAAATTTTGTTAAATACAATATTGTAATTTTATTCATTTTATTTTTATATTTTGTTTGTTTTTATGCTCCCCGGACGTCGTTTCTCAGGTGTTAGGGTTTGTTTTTATTTTACCTTTCCCGTCAAAAACGACGTCGTTGGAGTTTCAATGTCTTCTTCTTCTTCCTCTCAAACGAAGCACAAGCTCCGAGTTTAGTTTTCAATCCTCCGGTCGAATCTGAACAAAGCAGCTTCTCAATTTTCCCAAATTGTTGTAACCCTTCTTCCAATTTCACGACTTTGATTCTTCCAGGTTCGTCGCAACACTCACGTAAGCTGCTCCTTCCCTTATGTCTTTGCTTTCTCCTCTTTCTGGGTTTCTCTGTATCACAATCGGAGAGTGATGATAGATGCAGAGTCCTCCTTCTCTATATGTAGTCGATGTTGGAAAAATTAAGTCTTTTAAAGATTTACAAACACTAATGGTACTTTTTGTTTGATGCAGTGTTGTAGACTTGTGAAGATGAGAATGTGAAATTGGAACTTATTTAGGAAGTGCTTAGTTAGTGAGTGAGACTATGGATATTCATTTGGTTGAAGAGGGTTTGTCAATGGGGAATCATGGGATGGGAGATGATGTAGATGCTGAACCTAGTGATTGTAGTGGAACGAATAACATCGAGAATTCGTTGGGAGTTCAAGATGAGATTGGTATTGCAGAGCCATGTGTTGGTATGGAGTTTAGTTCAGAGAAAGAAGCTAAATCTTTCTATGACGAGTATTCGAGGCAGCTTGGTTTTACTTCCAAGTCACTTCCGAGAACTGATGGGTCTGTTAGTGTTCGGGAGTTCGTATGTAGTAGCAAAAGGTCTAAGAGAAGGCTTGCGGAGAGCTGTGATGCAATGGTTAGGATAGAAATGAGAGGTCAGGAGAAATGGGTTGTGACGAAGTTTGTTAAAGAGCATACTCATGGATTGGCTAGTCCTAATACGCTTCATTGTCTTCGGCCTCGTAGGCATTTTGCTAATTCGGAAAAATCTAGTTATCAAGAAGGGGTAAATGTGCCTAGTGGTATGATGTATGTTTCTATGGATGGAAATCGCGTTCCCTTAGAATCTAATAGCAGAAGTTCTAGAAGTGCGTCTAAGGATTCAAATAGAGGCGTAGGAACAGTAAATTATGGATCTATGGCTACAAACACAAAGAGAACAATTGGACGGGATGCACATAATCTGTTGGAGTATTTTAAGAGGATGCAGGCAGAGAATCCTGGCTTTTTCTATGCAATTCAGCTTGATGAAGATAATCAGATGACAAATGTATTTTGGGCTGATTCAAGATCTAGGTTTGCTTATTCTCATTTTGGTGACACAGTCACCTTAGATACAAGATACAGGTGCAATCAGTTTCGGGTTCCTTTTGCTCCGTTTACTGGGGTAAATCATCATGGTCAGACTATCATATTTGGCTGTGCACTGATTTTGGACGAGTCTGATACTTCATTTATCTGGCTATTTAAGACTTTTCTAACAGCAATGAGAGAACAACCCCCCGTCTCTTTGGTAACTGATCAAGATAGAGCCATACAGATTGCTGTTGCTCAGGTATTTCCAGGTGCTCGTCACTGTATAAATAAGTGGGATGTGCTAAGAGAAGGTCAGGAAAAGCTGGCTCATGTGTGTCTTGCGTATCCCAGTTTTCAGGTGGAGCTATATAATTGTATCAATTTCACTGAAACGATTGAGGAGTTTGAATCGTCCTGGACTTCCATCATTGAAAAGTATGACCTAGGAAGACATGAATGGCTTAATTCTTTATATAATGCTCGAGCTCAGTGGGTACCTGTTTATTTCCGGGATTCTTTTTTTGCTGCAGTATTTCCTAGCCAAGGTTATTCGGGTTCCTTTTTTGATGGATATGTGAATCAGCAGACAACCCTTCCGATGTTCTTTAGGCTGTACGAAAGGGCTATGGAGAGCTGGTTTGAGCTGGAGGGTGAAGCAGATCTTGACACTGTCAACACTCCTCCAGTCTTGAAGACGCCATCACCCATGGAGAATCAGGCTGCAAATCTTTTCACAA